ACACCCTTGAGGACCTACTGTTTCACTCTAGAATGGTCTCTTCCACCAAACTCTACCCATAAAATTTTAGCCAAGCCTCAGGTTCTGTTTGGGACCTGAAGGCCACTTCTGGGACAATTCCTGTCTCCTTGTTCTCCTCAGGAGCCTGTGACAAAAGCTTGACACCTGACAAAATCTTGCTATCCTCAACCCCTGGTTATCTCAAATGTCTCCAGACTCCAGCAGGAGGAAGCATACCTTTTGAGTGTGTCTGTGTGTCAGGCCCTGGGCGGGGCACCGTTATACTCCTGATCTCAGCAAATCCTCATAGTCTTCTAAGAGGTTCAGCATTCGAGGGGTCTGCCCACCCACCACACCCCCTTCCCTCAGGGATAGGTCTCAGAAGTTTATGGGCATTATATGAGCCTGCTCCTTTTGGTCATAGATGATTGGCTCCTGGTGGCATCTAGCCAAGCTTGGCCAATCCCATCTCTGCCCTGAGAATTTGGATTGAAGCACCGAGATACTTGGTCAGCACCTGTTAGCACCTAGAGGACTGTGGGGCAGCCATTTTGACTGTGTGCTCAGAGACACAGAGAGTACCCCACGGAGACAGGCAGGGAAGAAGGGAGGGAGGGAGGGAGAGAGACAGAGAAATGACATAGGGCTGTGACGTCAAGAAACCTGTGGCCCTAAGGGGCGCCTGGGTGGCTCAGTCAGTTAAGTGTGTGCCTTTGGCTCAGGTCATGATCCCCGGGTCCTGGGATCGAGCCCCGCGTCGTTGGTCTCCCTGCTTAGTGGAGAGCCTGCTTCTTCCTCTCCCCCTATAGAAAAACACATTTAGGGGATAATTTTGAAGAAAAAAAAAAAAAAGAAAGAAAGAAACCTGTGGCCCAGAATGAGGTAGAAAGTGAGCCCCGTTCCTGATGACTTTCTAGTTCCTGGCTCCAAATCCTCTTGAGGCTTCATTTCCTGCCCTTGGGTACCATGATCTACCTCCTAACTTAACAAAATACCCCCTCCCCCCATTTTTTTTTTTAAAGTTTAGCATGATTTCATTTCTGCTGGTTACAACTAAAAAAGTGTTGCTAAGACTGGTAGGTTTTGGGGCCCCCATTTTATAGAGATGGAAACTAAGGTTTAGAGATAAGGCAGGGACCCAGGGCCATGGAGCTAGTCAGTCAGTGGCAGAGGTGAGAAACACATCTCTGTGATTCCAATGGAGGGCGTGGATGGGGTGCTTTCTTTACACTAGGCCCTTTCTAAAAGCTTTACCTGTCTTCTCTCATTTCATCCTCTGAGGGCCCCTGTGAGGTAGGTACTACTATCAGCACCGTTTGAAGGATGAGGAACTGAAGGCCAGGAGAGGCTGTGTTGTTTGCTTCAGATCGTGTAGTCTCTGAGGGCCAGAGCCAGGCTCAGATGTCAGGTGGTTGACCCCACAGCCTGGGCTTTTAATAATTATGCCATAAGTTAGCGTGGCAATGCTGATTCAGAAGGCAGGGGCCTGGACATGGACAGGGTCAGAAGTTTTCAGAAACTGATGAACATATGGTTGTCACTGAATGATGGGCCCTTAGAGGATGGGTAAGCCTTTGGAGTCCCACTGGCCTAAGTTGGCAGCTCAGGTATGTGTCTGTTCTTCAGCAACTATGACCCACGGCCATTCCGTTCCTTCTCTGTGATGTTCTGGTGCCTGTTCCATCACTCAGCAGGTTGGGGTTCACCTCCTGGGATCTCACTACATACTTTATCTCCTCTCCCTGTCTTTTCCCTCTTCCTAGTCCCCTGCTTGTGGTGAGTTTATCCTTTGTTAACCTCCAGAGTGGGGCCAGATCACAGCTCCGGGTGACTGGGTAGTTTCCACTATTGGTTGGGAAATGTGTGTGTTCATTTAGAAACTGGATTTTGTCAGGAAGGCACCAAGCTCAATCTTCGTGTTTTTAGCATACCCTTCATGGCCTAGCAGGGACAGAGTGAAGAAGGGACAGACCCTACAGACCTGGGACCATTGTTGAGGACATGCCTCTCTAGGTGGTGTTGGATGCACCCTGGGCACTCTTGTCGGGGTGTGCTAATGGGAGAGGGAAGCCCAGTTCCTGTGGCCTGTGGGTAGTAGAGAAGCAGAAAGTGCTTGCAGTGATACCAGAAAGAGAATGAGAAAGACCCATGATGATTTTCCAGGCACCTCTACCGGGAAATCATTCTAGGTTGCAGATCATTCTAGGTTGGGGTCACTGACCCTTTTGAGAAATTGGTGAAAGGCAGAGATTTTCTCTCCCCAAACGCACATATAGACATAAATTTGCTTAAGACGTAAAATTGCTTAGTTATGGGTCCCCACACCTATCCAAGGATTTAAGGATCCTTGATCTAGAGAGAGGCTGCCATCTGATTAAGAGCCAGAGGGGACGGATGCTTCTACCCACCTTCCAGCTGGATGTTATTTCTCCTGGAGTCTTTGCTGACAATCCCTTCCCCGCCCCCCCGCCCCAGGGGTGGTTTGAGTCCTTCCTCTTTCTCCTGCACCTGTGCATTTTGCTGTTGGCACCTTTTTGCAATGGTTTAAACAGTGTGGACCTTAGACCAACGGCATCAGCATCACCTGGGAACTTGTTAGAAATGCAAATTCTCAGTTCCTACTCCTGACTGAATCAGAAACTCTGGGGTGGGGCCCAATAAATTTGGGTTTGAACAGGCCCTCCTGGTGAGTTGCTGAAGTTTGAGAAGGGCTACTGCAAGCAATCCTCTTTATGGTGTGTGTCCGCCTTACTAGACACAACGTGCCTGGCACATAGTAAAAGCTCGGTGAATGCTTACTGCATCATGTTTTCCACATTGACAGGGCAGGATTAATTTTTTTTTCCTTTGGTACCCTACAGCTTTGAGTCACGGGGACTGAGACTCAGGGTCATTTGGGTCCAGTTTCTTTCGACTTCAGGGCCTAAAGATAGGCTTGGCTCCACTGGGTAGAGGAGGTGGCTTAGCCTTAAGGCAGGTGCCCAGAAACTTTCACACAGGGATGGAGCCAGAGAGACATCAAGCATGGAGCATCTCTCTGGGTAACAAGGCCTCAGCCACATGGTGGATGAGGGGCAGGCGGGCAGGGGACTGCCTGGCCATCACATATGCCCAGGGCTCATGGGAGCCCAATTCTGCCAAACTCCACAGGCTGACCTGCCCCTCTCAGTGCCTGCCCTACAGCAGCCTTGGCAGAGGCCGCCCAGATCTCTGCCAGAGACACACTGGCCAGGCTGGCTGGGAGGGAAATGGCCACTTTTTATTTTTAATGACTCCAACATTTTACAGAGGACGGAATGGTTCGAAGATCCCTCTTAACTTTGTGTGTTTGGTCTGGGGAAGAGTTGCGTCTCTTAATTCTCTGCATCTTATGTAGGGTTATATTCCCATATGTTCCTTCTACAGGGAGAGAGAGTATTTTCCTATACAGTTCCTTAGTTGCCTGACATTTAAAAAAATAATTTTTCTGAGGGGTGCAGGGAAAAAAATTCTGGGAAAAAAACTCCTTCCTATCTCCTATCGATCCAACTCTTTAAACATTAGAAAAAAATTTGTTCTGATTTTTTTAAGGTGGGAACAGAGGAAAGATATGTGTTTACTCTTAATTTCCAGTGTGTTTATTTTTTAAAAAGGATCCTTACATCTTTCTCGGAGGGGTAAAGAAAGATTTCTCTCATCTCATATATGGGCAGTTCTTCAAAGTTTTATTCTAAAAAAAAAAAATCAATCATCTGTGGGAGATGTAGGATGGATCCAGTAATCCTTGTGTTGTTATGGGCTAGATCCTTCACACTTTTAATTAAAAAAAGATTTTTTTTTTTTTTTTGGGAGGTGAGGACAGGAAAAAAAAAGTCCTGGTTAGACCTTCCCAAATCATAGGGAGGCAGTTCCTTAAATTAAAAAAAAAAAAAAAAATCTGATATTTTGACTGTTGGATAGAAATGTTCTTGTTCACAATTTATTTCACATAGAATTTCTCAAATTTTTCTTCTTAATATCAAATTGATTGGGGGAGATGGGAGGGGGGCTAGACCCCCTTAACCTTTAACCCCTAGTGTCTCACTCAGGGTCAGTTCTTTAAACTTTTATTTTTAATATAAATCTGTTCTTTAAAAAAAAATGTTGACAAAGGTAGACAAATATTCTCTTCATCCCCCATTTCACATAAAAGCAGCTCTTCGGATATTCATTTTTAAAATCCGTCTGTTTGGGGGGGCTAAAAAGAGTCCCCTTAAACCCTCTTGTCCGACCCAGGGCTGGTTCTTCCAACTTTTATTTTTAAATGATATTAGATTTTTTTTTTTTTTTTTGGAGGACCGGGCAGGCAGGGTTAGGAGGAACATCCCACTGAGCCTCGCAATGCCTCCATAAGGCCAGCTCTTCTAACTTTATTTAAAAAATCAATCTGATTTTTGGGGGGTGGGTGGGGGGGAGCAGAAGAGTTCCCATTAACCCCTTGTGTTCCGCCAAGAGGCGGCTCCCCAAACTTTTTTTCCACCGCGAACATGACCTTTGCGAGGGGCTGGC